GTCAAATTACGAAAAAAACACCTCATGTTTGGATAATTACAATCACCCATTAACTATAAATCTTCTTACATGTCCACCCTTGCAGTGTCAAATTTCGTTGAATTTTCTAGATTACTTGGAATATTCTCCAGGTTGTACCCGTTTAATCCCATTCGAACTCCACGTTTTGAAGCAAGATGATCATAAGAAGTGTTTTTTGGCTTGTAAATATCAGATTGTGGTGCATCAGAAATTTCATTTTGCACAAAACAAGTACAAATTAGAGAACATTCCACGGAATTTAGAAGATTATTAGAATTTAACACCATAAGGGTAGACGTATAAAAAAATTCATAGTTGAGGGGATAATTGTAATTATCCAAACATGAGGAGTTTTTTCATAACTTGACCATATCTCATGGGTGGTTGTAATTTACCCCAAGAAAATTAACTAATATAATATATTTTGAAAAGTAATAAACCGTGATTTATTAGGCTTGGAATATCGAACGGAATTATTTAGAAAAACTAACAATGACCATAAAGGAAATTTGTGCAGCTTAGTTATATTAACAATTCATAACTATATACAAGTGTACAACATAAAAGAAATTTAATAATCCTGCAATTGAGATTTGGGATTGGGTTTGCATTTAATTCTGAAACTGAAAACCAACTTTCCAGTTTCCCACCTCCCAAAAGCCTTTATTTCAGGAAGGACATAAAGTACAGGGGCATTTATGAAATACCAAAAATTGTAGCGGGGCCCAAACCTAATTAACAATATATGCAACGTAATTAATGGGGCCATAAATAATGGTGTGAATTTTTTTACCTACCAAAATAGAATAAAAGCCGAATTCGATAGCCGTTTGTCCCTTTAAAGAACTGAAGAATTAGTATCCAAAGTGTAGATGATCACTAATTATACATACACATGAGTACATATATTATTATGTGTAGATCAATGATTTGAGATCAACCGATGTATTTTATCTAGTATAGTATCTACAAAATTTGAGTCTCGTACTAGTTATCCAACTAAGCTGCCCGACGAACTTATACCAAATTCAAAATATTCGAGCGAATTGTTACTTGTTAGCTATACAAAATATTTTAAGGGATTTTTAGACAAATTTTCCTTCTAATTATGAGTTTCGGGTCAATGAGACACTAATAAAAGCAAGTTAACATTCAGCCCTTAAATGTAATGTAATTATTTCAAGAGATTAAGCAATATTATATACAGACATCGATAAGTTAATAGTCGATAAATTAATAACTTCGAATAAATAATAGTTTCTCCCAATCCTAACTAGGTGAAAACGTGTTAACTTATTAACTCGATAATTTAATAATTCACTAAATTAATAGAATTTCTCTAGTTCCGACTATATTAATTTATGGGTTAATAGCATTTTCCCACCTAGACTTTGCTCGTTTTTGCACTTTCCCACCTCAACTAAAAAAAGTTGCACGGCGGCACCCAAACATTCATTTTTGACGCACATAACCACCTGGAGGGAATATTCCGGCGAATATTCTCATTTTTCAACGCACGCGCGATGCACATGCGAAAGTACAAGGGCTTTTTCGTCTTTTTACTTGAAAATATTATAAGGGGTGAAATTGAAAGTACCAGGGACTCAATTGAACTTAATTTGAAACTTTCACAACTTCCACCCATCATCTTCTTCGTCTCCCTCTTGCTGCAAAACAGGGGAATCAGGATATTTCACACCACCGACACCAACATCTCTCTCCACCGCCGTACCACCACCTGAAATTATCATATCAAATTACTAAAAATTCAATATGAAAAATCCTGCTCCGTCTTCTTCCTCTCTCCGGCACCGCATCACCACCACCACATTTGCTCCGCCGCCGCACCACCACCACCTCCACCACAACCAAATCTGCCACCTATACTAACGCCTAAGCCTCCACCGACTCCACCTTCAATTCCTCCACTGTCACCTCCAACTCCACCACCAATTCCTCCACCAACACCTCGTCCAAATGTCCAACTCCTCCGGCTGTACCCAAAACCCCTCGCGACGCAAAAATAATTAAATACGCGAAACAGGTATGTATAGATACACATATAGATACACGAACACACACTCAGTACTGAATACTGATATCCCCACTCTCTTATATCATCTCTGTTAATGCGAACGTGTTTGGTTTGGTTTTCGCTGATTGTTTTGCTGAGAATCAATTCTTTTCTCCTTCGCCTCTGATTTTATTTTGCGTTTTTATGTGCAATTGATTTCCTTTTTCTCGTACATTTCGTTTCTGAAACAGGCCGCGGTGCAGTAGCTGTTGGTTTTGTGATGATGGATATTATTTTTAGGGTTTCTGATTGGTGCGATTTGGGGGTTTTCGTGTGTGTTCTATGGGATTTTTCGATTTTCTGGATTCGAAATTGTTTTGAAGTTTTGCTTGTTGTTGGGTTGTGTTTTGAATTTTGTCTGGGATGCCAAATGAATTTGGGGATTTTTCTTTTACGTGACTTTGGGATTGAATTCGGAAGCAAAGCTGAAGTTTGTAGTGTTTTGATTATTAGAATTTCATGTTTAGGAAACTGTTAATTGCTATTACTTTACGGCTCATTTGAAACTTTGTTATTGCTATAAAGAAAGTTTCAAATTAAGTTCAATTGAGTCCCTGGTACTTTCAATTTCACCCCTTATAATATTTTCAAGTAAAAAGACGAAAAAGCCCTTGTACTTTCGCATGTGCATCGCGCGTGCGTTGAAAAATGAGAATATTCGCCGGAATATTCCCTCCAGGTGGTTATGTGCGTAAAAAATGAATGTTTGGGTGCCGCCGTGCAACTTTTTTTAGTTGAGGTGGGAAAGTGCAAAAACGGGCAAAGTCTAGGTGGGAAAATGCTATTAACCCTTAATTTATAGAAGTTTTAACTGTATTTATAAATAATTTAGAAATACACACAGTGCGTAATTATTACCAAACCACTTGTTAATCAATAATGGCAAACCATAGCTTCATATCTATTTGCAATTTAATGGCAAATGTTCTTAACTGCGATAGGTCGGTAGCAAATTAATTTCTTGCCATTGACTCCCAAATAATCCAAAATTTTGCAATTTAATGAGAAAAAAAAACCGTGCAATTTTATTTGTCGTTTAAGATTTAGAGTCGACACACGTAATAAATAAATTCATTAAATAACTTTTATTATGACAATATTGTTTTATTTCTACAATTAGTATTAATAATAGCGTAAATTATATAAAACACTATAAATGGTTTTATTTGATGCTAAACTCGATGAAATATATTAGATGATTATTAATTGTTGATTGCACATAATCACATGCACTTATGTGTACATATGCGTAGAAGGTTATTTCACTATATAATAATTCATTCTGATGTATTTAATCATGTGTAATATATGAACAACGAAATTTGATTTAATTTCCGAAGAACAAGGAAGAGATAATATTCGAACAAAACAAATAAGAATTCAAAGTCAAAGAAATTCAACAGAGAACTTGATAAAAAGTCAAAACGTCACTTTCAAATCGGGTGCAAAATATATAAATATTAGAAAGTAGGGTGGCTAATTTGGAAATAATCGCAAAATTATCGCCCACGTTCTTAACCCCTTAACACCGCCCCACCCCACCCTCGCACTTTTTATGTGAGTGGGGCTTTTCTCTGTTTCGTGCTCATCATCCCCATTCGGTAAAGTAGCCACTGTATCTAACCGATAGATACACGCACATATACGTATACTTGCATGCGATGATTGAGTAGCAGGAGTAGGAAGCAATCGATTATTGTTGTTGTTGCCGATCGAGCGATGGGGCTGTGTTTCTCTCGTGAAGACAGATCACCGCCCAAGAGAAGAGCGTCTAGGCGAATTACGAACCACTCGGCGGCGGCGGCGGCGGATGGAGGCGTCGGGAGCAACCGGTGGTCGAGGATTCGGTCGTCGAGGAAGGAGGAGAACCTAATTCACGAACGAGCGCTGGCGGCGGCGATTCTCTTCCAGCAGCAGATGCAGAACGGCGGCGGAACGGCGCCGTTTGATAGGTCGACGTCGTTGAGGTATTCGAATGGAAACTCGAAGAGGAGCCAGGCTTTGCCTCGGAGCTCGAGCTCCAGAGCGCGGTCGCTCACCGATCCTCTGCTTCAACCTCACCAGCTCGTTAATCAGGTATGGTCGGATTTTTTAATTTTTTCGGCGTTTTTGTTGTGTTTTTATGAGTGTCGATTGCTGGATTCGTTAAATTTCTGCCAATCGTGAGTAATTAGCAGAATTTTGGGGTTTTTATGTTTAAGCTGAGTTTTAGTTGTTAATTAGAGCGATTTCGAATTGTGTTTCATTATGATTGCTATTTTCCCCAATAATCAATTATTTCTGTAACGTTGAAAACTTGCGAGCTTTATTGAAGTTTGTGTTGATTAGATATGTTAAAATATTAGGTTGGTGGTGACCTGAGAATGGGGGAATGAATAAACAGAGTTAAAAAGAAGAATTATTGTTCAAATTATTAGAAATTCTTATCAAAAACCGAAATTGTGTCTGGAATTTAATTTTATAAATTATCGAGTTAATTTTGAATTGACTTTTAACTGAATTGAACATGAAAGGGGATCTTACAATAATAGAAAAGGACTTGTTCAGTATCTTATTGTTCTGTTCCATTCATTAAAACTAAGTCGTGTTGCGGAATTTATTACTTCGTTAGTAGATGGAGTTTGTTTGAGTAATTACAGTTCTATTCAGCAATTTATACGACTGTGATACCAATTATAGGAAACTGTTCCTTTCGGATTGCAAGGTTTTACCAACCTGCCTATTTCGAGCATCTGAAGTTAAGTATATTCCCTCTTGATGTATTAATTAGTTCATTATTGTAGCTCGTGATTGTTAATTGATATTCTTTCTCATCCCTTATTTCTTTTAATAAGACACAGTCTTTGGCTTGAATTGTTAAAATTGCTAATCTTGGACTTGAGTCGTTATCGTGAGTGGTCCAGGTTGATTTTTTTTTCCTTGTGGGTCGGTTGGAGAGATTCTCATTTGTTGAAATGTCTATTTCTGTAACAGTACATGACGACAACAAATTCCCGAAGTTCCTAGACTATTCAATTTATTTTTTCTGATTTTCTCACTAGAAAATGAAGGAAAAAAACCACTACGTCGTAAAGGATGAATCAATGTCAAAGTATTAATAATATTTCCATTACTGCTATCATCTTTAATTTTGCTTCCAAGAACTACACACAATCTATTCCACTCAGTATTGAATCTATTTGAGACTTGTCCTTCTGAACCAGTACCTATTTGCTTGTTTTATTCTTATGGATTATCATTTACCTAGTTTTCTAATTGCCAGGATATCAAACTTGATAATCTAGAGACCACCCATTTTGTACTTGTTCACGGTGGTGGTTTTGGTGCTTGGTGCTGGTATAAAACTATTGCACTATTGGAAGAAGCTGGATACAAAGTTACAGCGGTGGATTTGACCGGTTCTGGGATTCATTCTTTTGACACAAACAGTATCACAAGTCTTTCCCAATATGTGAAGCCACTGACTGATTTTATGGAAAAACTCACTGATGGAGAGAAGGTGGTATTTTCCAGATATTTCATTTTTTTTTTTATATTTGTGGAACTTTAGCAAGTTGGGAAATAGACAAAACATTGTAATATGTGGGAAATAGACAAAACATTTCTTTTCTCGATGACTCAAAAGTATTTTTTCCATCCGCAACTACTAATTTGCTTTCTTTTGAAAATATAAAGTGTTTCATTAGCTTTGGACATCCTCACTTTCTTGTTTCACTCAAATTTACTTATGTTCTACTAGGTTTTCCCGGTGCTAAAAAACTGCCTTGTTTCTAACGTTGAATTGGCACAATCATCATAATCTTTAACTTCGTAGGCATGACTCCTTGTCTTCGATACCTGCAGGTAATTTTAGTAGGACACGATTTCGGAGGGGCATGTATATCGTATGCTATGGAGCTGTTTCCCTCTAAAGTTTCAAAAGCTATTTTTCTTGCTGCAGCAATGTTGACGAGTGGGCAAAGCACCCTTGACATGTTCTCTGAAAAGGTTATTTTTCTAACTGGTTGAATCTGTATCAAATGGATATGGCCTTCTTGATTCTGTAGTTCTGGATGATGTTTGATTGTTTAGATGCGAAAAATATTCGAAATGTGAAAGAGGCTCAGATGACTTCTATTTCAGGTGGAATCAAATGACTTGATGCGGCAGGCTCAGATTTTTCTTTATGCCAATGGGAACACCCAGTCTCCAACTGCCATCGATTTCAACAAATCTCTCTTGAGGGACTTGCTATTCAACCAGAGTCCAGCCAAGGTATCTTCATTTTGTTTCTTTTTTTGCTCAATTAAATGACGCACATGGACCAAAAACAGAGTCTAACCGTAAAATGCAGCCATCGACCCTTCACTCGAGATTGCAGAGTTTAAATCACCATTTTAAATCATAATTGGAACATAAAGATTAGGATAATTCACTGCAAGAATGCTTGATTGAGCTACTTTGTAGACAGGAGCAAATATTGTTTGTCGTATGTATGCGTAAACTGTAAGATTAGACAATAAATATTCTTTAATAAATTCGTAAAATTATACTCTCTAGAGTACGAGGAATGAGCACATTCAAAAACTAAAGAAAAAATGATATATTTTTGCAAGACTTCGATGCAATATAGTACCATAGCTGATGCAGCTTCGTTCTTCGTATAAGTGCGTTCAACTTTTTGTGATTTTGTGATTCTTTTTTCGCACTCATTTGCCAGGATATTGCATTGGCATCAGTATCGATGAGACCTATACCCTTTTCTCCGGTTTTAGAGAAGCTCTCTTTGTCCGAAACAAACCACGGATCTGTGAGAAGGTTCTATATCGAAGCTCTGGAAGACAATGCTATACCAATTGCTGTGCAGGAAATCATGATAGGCAAAAGTCCCCCAGAGAAGGTATTCCTTCTCAAAGGTGCTGATCACTCACCGTTTTTCTCCAAGCCTCAAGCCCTGCATAAACTTTTTGTCGAAATATCGAGGATCGAGTAAACAGTCCTATTTACATTCACTGAAAAATTGCCGTAGACATTTTTAGCATCCCGAGTTTTAACTTGCACTGGAGAATGCAGGTGCAGGCCATTTGATATTTATTTAAGGCTGACATAAAGTGAAGGTTTTTATATTTATCGCTATTAGACGTTCAGTGTTGATATAAATAGCTGTGATGAATCAACATTACTGAATTTTACCAGTATATTAAGGTGCATATTTTTTTTCTTCTTTTCCATTTGATCTTTTCTACATCTACTATAATCTGAAATTTGAACTGTTGTTATTCCGTTTTCATTGCAAAATTATAGCTTTGCCAAAGGGGCGGACTCATGCTGAATCTTTTCGCTCTCGTACCCCTCGTACTTGTGTTATCAATGTGTTTCTACTTGTGCAAGGAATTATTGGCCATTTAACATTATTGGTTTCTTAAAAAATAAAAGAAACATGATTATTTCATTAATGAATATTATTCAAGGGATATATAGGTTCATATATAAAATAGTTGATCAAGACCAGTGAAGAATGAAGATGTGCATACATATAAATGGCAGATTCAAGTGCTATATATTGTCTAGAACCTCTACCACCTAAGACATTTGAACACAGATGAAACTAGTTCAGATTTATCACCTATAACCGATATCGTGGCAAAGCTTACAAACTTAGCTCGAGTTACTCAACTAAAGAAAATTGCGGGGAGCACAAAGAGCAACATATTTCATGATTAAAAAGACAAGCACGAAGATTGCACATTGCATGTAATTCCTCATTAAGAAAATAAGTCTACACATATAAGGCGTTAAAAACATCAAATAGTTGCAAGTGGCAAGAGGTTAATAGAGCCTCAGGACATCACTACAGAAAAGCCATGGTCGTTAGTGTTCACTAAAAAAGGAAAATAACACCAAGCAGAAACAAGCTATTAATAAACACTCGCACAAATTTCATTCTCGGATGAATCTAGAGACTATTTAAAGTTCATTACAACTTCACCCCGTGCATTTTCGTGATACTACAAAACGCGTTCTTACCGACAGACATCATAATCCAAACAAGTACACACAAGCAAACAGAAGAACGATAATCGGCAAATTCGACATAATACTTACCCTGTCAGTCCAGAACCTAAACATGGATCAAAACCATGGCAAAAAGCAACATTAATACCAATCCATCGTTTCTCCTCAAGTATCAAGCAAATACAAGTGTTAGAAACATCATATTCTATACAAAATAAATCCACATTGTCATGTTTTATATTGATCCTCTTATATTGCCCCAACTTGAACAATGCGCAACCAATATAACATCTAATTCAAATCATGCTCGATGAACAGACCGATGAAAAAACAAAATAATAAACACACAAACCCTACTCCTTCAACAATTAATCTATCAGGTATCGAATAGCAAATGTCGAATAGCAAAAGTACCAATTTCAGAATTCTACGGCATAATCGACGATTCAACGGGCAGAGAAATCAGAACGAGACAACAAATACATAATTACTGAATAAAGAGAAATAACCCACTGATATCAAAACCAACTGGCGGCTTCAATTCGAGCAGAGTATAGCATAAATAAAACGCAGCAAAAAAGTCTTACACCATATTAATCATTTTACCAGCCATCTAATTCCAGAAATTAACTGCTACGGAGAAACAGGAAAAAAAAAACATGAAAATATGAAAGAAGAAAAGTAGAGGCGAACAGGCTTAGAAGCCGAGCTTGGTTCGGCGCCAGTGGCGGCGCTTGGCGTTGTAGCGGATGGTGTTGTCGGTGCGCATGCGGATCCAGTACGGGATTGGCCTGTTCTGCCTCTGCTTCTTCGCCAGCTTCTTCTTAATCATGAAACTCTTGTGCGACGGCTGCACAGTGAGGAAAACATTTTCATCAGTCTAAATTGCACGGACAAGTATGTACATAGAGAGAGAGATAGAGAGAGAGAGAGAGAGAGAGAGAGAGAGAGAGAGAGAGAGAGAGAGAGAGAGAGAGAGAGAGAGGGGCGGAACCATGGTTGAATTGCGACGGCGACTGAGAGATCTCCTTCCCTAGGGTTTTGCTGCGGCGGAGTAGTGTTGTAGTTCGCAGAGCGGGCAATGGAATATGACCTAGTTCCTCTTTTATATATGCACGGGATATAATCGATAACCAAAATAAATATATAGAACTCAAATTACAAAAGTACCCCTCTATTTCAGATTAAAATTGCATGTACAAAATTACAATCATAATGCACCATACTCCCTAGTGAATTTTGTTATATAAAATAATGTTTGAAAGTTAAATCGTATTTAACAAAGATTAATAAATATCTTGCCAAGCCAACATACTTTGAAATCATTGATTAAAAAAAAAAAAAGAGTATATTCGTTTTAGTAAAATCTTATTTAAAAAATAATACCGATATGTTGCGATTGTAAAGTTTACAGGTGGAAATTAGAACAAATTTTTTGAATTTCATCGATTTTGGTCCGAGAGTTTTCTATTTTTTAATTGTGATTTCTAAAGTTTACGATTTGTTTTTTGGATCACAATTGGTAGTTTACGAAAATTCCATTTCTCTTGGGCAAAATTACAAGGTCTTTTTCATTACGGATAGGTCGGGGGTGTTTTGCGTTATTTAACCTAAATTTATGAGGATTTTCGCAATTTACCCTTCAGTTAATTACAAACCAGTGAAACCACTGAATCAAAGCCATTTCGAATGAGCCTAATTTATTCCAAAACAAATAATAATAATAAAAAAAAATGGGTCCAATCATGGCTCATTAACCACCATTTCGAATGAGTTTAATTTGTAATTTTTGTTCATTTCTTGACAAGTCAACGTTGACTATGAAAATGATGATAATCTCCACAGTTCTCCCACCATTATTCCTCTGTTTTTACAATAGAGCACAAAATGAAACCATGAATATGTATATGACCTACCAAAATATACAACCTCCGAATCGTCGATCCTGCTGAGTTGACTCGTCTATTGCACACAAGCAATCTGCATTTCAAGGAAAAAAAGGCCATTACTTAAACTCAAACATCAGCTGAGTAGACAGTGTCTAGCAACTTCTTGCCACAAAGACAAATACATAAGAAACGAACTTCGAAACAAAGGAACAAGAAACAGCGTCTACGGTTTCTCAGTACCGGTATAACTTATGGCATCCAGTGAAGAAAATAAAAGGGTACCGAACAATACAAAATCACTAGAACACAAACCATCTACGGATGCAACATTGAAGTGAAACTCTAGAATAATACAAAAATGCCAAAATGAAAACAAAGTTCGAAAGCATGTTCAATATACGAACCGGCAATAATAAATAATTAAAAAAAATATATAAAAAACTGCAAAACACAAAAAGATCCCTATGTTAGAATATATTTAATAACTAGTTGGATATACTCACGTTGCTTTGCCTTTGCCATGTCGCAGGGATGTATTTGACCTTGAAAGATTCCCGATTTCGAAAGAACCGATCAAGAGTTCCTATGCGCTTATTAGCCTCACTTGAGAACGTGGAAAGGTGACAAATCTCTTTGATTAGAAGTTGACTAATTAGATGCCAACCCGTTATACGAAACCATTGAGAATGAAAAGATCAAACAATAATATATACTTAGAATGGGTCACTCAGACTTTATGAGGCTCATCAAACTTTATACAGTTGTAAAAAAAAAAAATTCTTGGCAAGTCGCCATATATTACGGAAGTCATCACCATCAATAATTATTCTCTCCCAAACTTCCCACCATTAATCCTCTGTTTTACGCAAATTGAAACCATGAATCTGCATCCACTTTCAATGGTTGTGCTATTTCTTTTCGTTCTCATCAAATTCACATCTGCCATTGGTGATCCACCTCACCTCACTGGTGATGTTTCGATTAATTGCGGTTCCATAGGCACTTCTGCAGCAAATAATGGCGGGGAATGGATTGGAGATATACAGCCAAAATCTTCTTTCTTGCTACAAGTGAAGGGCTCGTCAACCACATCAACTGTCGTCCATAATTTGATCTCTGCTGATCCAGTTCCCCACAAAACCGCAAGAATCTCTCAATCTCAATTCTCATATGCATTTCAAGTGAGCCCAGGTCAGAAAATTCTCCGCCTTCACTTTAATCCCACTTCATATAAAGGTTTCAAGGGGTACAAGGACCTATTCACTGTTGAAGCCGGTCCTTTTACTCTGCTCAGTAACTTTAGCGCCTCTCTTACTGCTGATGCTCTCGGTGTTGATTCTTTTGTCAAGGAATTTTGTTTAAACGTACAAGAAAATCAACATTTAAACATAATTTTCTTTCCTGAAAGCAGTCAATCATTAGATACATATGCTTTCATAAACGGCATTGAGATTTTCTCAGTGCCTGCAAGTCTTTCTTATTTTGAAGGCGGAGATGTTGGGCTCCAACTGGTCGGCGAGAAGTCTACGGTCTACATTGATTCCAGCATTGCACTAGAGATAATTCACCAAGTGGAGATTAAGAAGAATCATGTTCAATCTGCTGAATATTCCGATGGAACATTTCCCAAGTGGGCGAACCGAAATGCAAAGATAAGAAACAATAACACATGGAAAATGCCGGTGGATGTGGGATTCAAATACCTGATCAGGGTTCATTTCTCCGAGTTGGGGCTCAAAGTTGCAGGGGCTGGTGACAATAAGTTTAAAGTTCTTATTAATGAAATGATTGCTCGCACTTATATTGACAGAGTTCAAGAAAGGGATGGAAATAGCACGCCCTGGCATAGGGACTATACAGTGATGGTGAGAGGAAAGAAAAAAGAGGGAAAACGTGATATCTTGATTTCCTTGCAGTCACATGATGATCTTATAGATGATCGGGCACTTCTTTCAGGATTTGAAATATTTAAGCTGAGCAACTCTGCTAACAGTCTAGCCAGTCCAAATCCTTTGCCTCTAACTCGGGATTCACCTTTCCACACTGTCCAAATTGTATTTCTGGTACTTTTTCAAAAAAATGCAGTCGCGGATATTGCGATAGCTATAATTTCTTTTGTATGTATCATTGTTCATAAGTGGCGGCAAATTCAGGAATCTAATATTACTGAGGAGGAAAACAAACCAAAGCCAAAGCCATCTGCTAGGGCCGAACGTATTTGTCGTTGTTTTTCACTTGACGAGATTCAATTAGCCACAAAAAATTTCAGTGACGCACTTATAATTGGAAGGGGAGGATTTGGTAAAGTCTACAAAGGCCACATTGATAAAGAGCAAACTACCGTGGCTGTAAAGAGGTTGAAATCAAGCTCCAAGCAAGGGGTACATGAGTTCTTGACAGAGATCGAGACACTTTCTGAGCTCCGACATGCTAACCTTGTTCCTCTAATTGGTTATTGCAACGAGTACAGAGAAATGATTCTTGTCTATGAATACATGCCACGTGGAACCTTGGCCAACCATATTTACAAACTTGCAAGAGAAGACAATATGTGTTCTTCTCTTACGTGGAAGCAACTCCTTGATATTTGCATCGGAGCTGGTCGCGGACTAGATTATCTTCACACAGGCCACGGGATCATACATCGAGATGTAAAGGCTACAAACATTCTCCTTGATGAAAATCTCATAGCTAAGGTCTCCGATTTTGGCTTGGCCAAGCCTGAAAACAGAAGCAAGTTACAAAGCTATGTTAGCACGAATGTTAAAGGTACATTTGGATACCTTGATCCAAATTATTTCCGCACTCGTAAACTAACCAGGAAAAGTGATACTTACGCATTTGGAGTGGTGTTGTTGGAAGTATTGTGTGGGAGGTCCGTTGGGGATTTGATAGTTACAGAGAAAGAGCAAGTTCTAACCACATGGGCTCGAGATAAGATTGACATGGGAGAAGCTGATCAAATCGTATCAACGAGTCTGAGGGAGGAGATCTCACCAAATAGCCTCAAAACATTTGTTGGAGTTGCCCAAAGATGCTTGTCTGATAAACCGAAAAACCGGCCAACAATGTCTCAAGTTGTGTCACAACTTGAGTTGGCTGTTGAGCAACAGGAGATTAATAATGATAAAGATGGCCTATCTGTTCAGACGGGGCAACCAACAATTTTCTCTACGGTTGTACAGAATTTCACACTTTATCCGAAAGAACATACTAATAGCAATGTGGCTATTGTTCAGCTTCCAAATAGTGATGATAAAGATGGTCATTCAGTTCAGGGGCAACCACCAATTTTCTCTACAGCTGTGCAAAATTTCACACCTCCTCCACATGAACAAACTAATAGCAATGTGGTTAGTGCTCGGCTTCCAAATAATGATAATAATTATGGCCCACCAGTTGAGACGGGGCAACCACCAATTTTCTTTACGGCTGTGCAGAATATCACACCTCCTCCACATGAACAAATTAATAGCAATGTGGTTAGTGCTCAGCTTTCAAATAATGATAATAAAGATGGCCCATCAATTCAGACGAGGCAACTACCAATTTTTCCTATAGCTGTGCAGAATTACACATCTCCTCTGCAGGAACAAACTAATAGCAATGCGGTTACTGCTCAGCTTGCACTCAAGAAAAATGAATTGCAATCATTGTCAGGTACAAATTCAATAAATAGTGACTAAAAACTTGTTTATTCATATCTTGATCTTCAAGCTTGTTATGGTCTATGTTAATGTATTTATGATGTTATCTGAAATGTAAAAATTAGCGGAGTTTGATCGGGGTACGACTACATGTGCCAATAATGAATCTTGTTCTACAACGAGGACTATGAGATCGCATCCGGAATTATGTACACATTTTTGGCTCGAAGAGATCAAAACAGCAACAGACAACTTTGACGAAAGTTCCATCATCGGCAGGGGAGAGTTCTTCGATGTGCACATAGGGATCATTGACGGTGTTGATGCTGACGGCACCGCTACCACCAGCGCGGTGGCCATCAAAAGGCTGAACCGTCCGTCGAACTCAGGTGTCCGCAAGTTCCTAGAAAAAATCGAGATGTTGTCAAAGATAAAGCACCTCCACTTGGTATCACTCATCGGCTACTGCCACGAGAATGGCGAGATGATATTAGTTTACAATTACGTGGCACATGGCAGCTTACACGACCATCTTTACAACTCGGAGAACTATCAGTTGAAGTGGAAGCAACGCCTCCAAATTTGCATAGGCGCCGCCATAGGATTAAACTACCTTCACACTGGCAATGAGTACCCAATCATGCATCGCCACATCAACTCCACAAACATTATGCTGGATGAGAAATTGGTGCCCAAGGTCTCTGTCGGGCCCACCACAGAGGATTTCGAGAGGGAAACGTATGGCGTGTACTACTTGGGCGTGGTGTTGTTCGAAGTGTTATTCGCCAAGCCAGGTGAGCAAATAAATTTGGCCAAATGGGCTAAGTTTTGTTACAGTAAATGGACACTTGAACAACACATAGATTCTAACCTGCATGGTCAAATTGCCCCTGAATGTTTGAGTAAATTCGTCGAGACAGCCCTTGCATGCGTAAGGGAAAGGGAAAGTGAGCGGCCGTCAATGATCGACGTCGTTCGGAGCCTAGAGATGTCGATGCAGCTGCAAGAAGCGACCGGCGGCAGATCACCGAGGCCTGCAACTTCCTGTTTCTCGGAGTGATGGGTAAATCTTCAATCTCATTACCAATCTTGAGCTGAAAATCCACTGAAGATCGCAGAGATAAAATAAATTAGGGTTTGTAAAACGAAAAATTGGAATGAAGAAAAACAATATTTTTCAAATATAATTATAAAATATTATTAGAAAAAATGGATTTTCAAATATAGTTCAACATATTAAATAATTATTTGTCAATTTTGTTATGTAAAACAGAGGGTTGCTAATTGAAATCAATTAGTAATATCTCATAGACTCATCAACTTTATTACACACTTGTATTTTTTTAAATTTCTTGACAGTCACACTACTGTATATCAACTTTCAATTGTTGTGCAGTTTCTATCCCTATATATATATATATATCGAAAAGAAATTATAGCTTCAATATTTCGTTGAATTGGCGTTGGTTCATTCTGGTATATATAAGCAAAATCTTGTAACCTGCAAAAAATATTCAACCTCTGATTCGTCGATTTTGCTGAGTTGACTCATCTGTTGCACGCACGAGCTCTGCATTTCAAGAAGAAGAAAAAGGCCATTAGTTTAACCTCTGTAGTGGTATACATTGAACAAGAAAATGCAATTAAAATTAAAACTCATGCAAAATAAGTCAGAAGCAAATCTTCAATAACTCAAATTAAAGAATGCCAAAATTATATTAACAGGTAAAGCTTAGTACATGCTGGGGAAGAGTGACTGAACAATGGGGATAAATGTATGTGTTACTTGAATTTCTCGAATATGGACTTATGTCATTCAGCGAAGAACTAAAAGGGTACCGAACAATATAAAACCATCTACGGATGCAGCATTGAAGTGAAACTCGAGAAGCATACAAAAATGCCAAAATGAAAACAAAGTTCGAAAGCATGTTCTACATACGAAGCGGCAATAATAAATAATTAAAAGATAAATATAAAAAAACTGCAAAACACAAAAAGATCCCTCTGTTAGAATTTATTTAATAACTAGTTGGATTTACTTATGTTGCTTTGCTAGGGATGTATTTGACCTTGAAAGATTCCCGATTTCGGAAGAACCATTCAAGAGTTCTTGATGTGTTTATGCGCCTCATTAAGACCCTGAAAAGGGGACAAATACTTTTCGTTAGAAGTTGACTAATTAGATTCCAGCCCACGATACGAAACCATTGAGAATGAACAGATCAAACCATAATACATATTTAGAATTTGTCAGCAAGAATGTTATTTTCATTTTTTTCATTTCTTGGCAAGTCATCACCGATCAATAATCACACTCTCCCAAATTTCCCACCATTCCTCTGTATTACACAAATTGAAATCATGAATCTGCATTCACATTCAATTGGTGTGCTATTTCTTTTCATTCTCCTGGAATTCACATCTGCCATTATTAATCCAAGTCACATCACAGGTGATATTTTGATTAATTGCGGCTCCAAAGGCACTTCTGCATCAAATAATGGCAGGGAATGGATTGGAGATATACAACCGAAGTCTTCTTCCTTGCTACAACTGAAGGGCTCTTCAACCACCTCAACGGTCATCCCTGATTTGATCTCTTCCGATCCAGTTCCCCACAAAACGGCGAGAATCTCTCGATCTCAATTTTCCTATAGATTTCAAGTAAGTCCAGGTCAGAAAATTCTCCGCCTTCACTTTAATCCCACTTCATATAAAGGTTTCCAAGGGTTCAACGACTTGTTCACCGTTGAAGCCGGTCCTTTTACTCTGCTCGGTATCTTTAGCGCCTCCCTTGCTGCTGATGCTCTTGGTGTTGATTCTTTTATCAAGGAATTTTGTTTAAACGTACAAGAAAATCAACAGCTAGACATAATTTTCTCTCCTGAAATTAGTCATTTATTAGATACATATGCTTTCATAAACGGCGTTGAGATTTTCTCAGTGCCTGCAAGTCTTTCTTACTTTGAAGGAGGAGATGTCGGTCTCCAACTGGTTGGAGAGAAGTCTCTAGTTTACTTTGATTACAAAACTGCACTTGAAATAATCCACCGAATAGAGATTAAACAAAACTCGTTTTTGCCCGCTGGAGATTCCGATGACCTGTTTCCCAAGTGGGCAGCCCGGAATGCAAAAAAGAGAAACAATAACACATGGAATATACCGGTGGATGTGGGATTCAAATACTTGATCAGGGTTCACATCTCAGAGCTTGGAGTCAAGATTGCAGAAAGTGGTGGTAACATGTTTGAAGTCCTTATCAATGAAATGATTGCTCAAACTAATATTGATGCAGCTAAAGGAAGGGAGGAAACTAACATCCCTTTGTATAGGGACTGCATGGTGATGGTGAGAGGAAACAAAAAGGAGGGCAAACGTGATATATTGATTTCCTTGAATTCATCTGATGATCGGACACTTGTTTCAGGATTTGAAATATTTAAGTTGAGCAACTCTGACAACAGTCTTGCCAGTCCAAATCCTTCGCCTCTAGCACGGGATTCACCATCCGACACTGTCCAAACTTTATTATTTGTACTTATTGAGAGAAATTCAATTTCAACTGTTGCAGTGGTTATAATTTCTTTGGTATGTATCGTTGTTCATAAGTTGCAAGAAATTCAGGAAGCTAATATTACCGAGGAGGAAAACACGCCAACCCCATCACAGAGAGATGGACGTATTTGTCGCCATTTTTCACTAGATGAGATCCGATTAGCCACAAACAACTTCAGTGACGCACTAGAAATTGGAATGGGCGGATTTGGTAAAGTCTACAAAGGCCACATTGATAAAAACCAGACCGTCGTTGCTGTAAAGAGGTTAAAATCAAGCTCCGACCAAGGGGTGCACGAGTTCTTGACAGAGATCGAGACACTTTCTGAGCTTCGACATGTTAACCTAGTTTCTCTATTTGGTTACTGCAATGAGCAAGAAGAAATGATTCTTGTTTATGAATACATGTCACGTGGGACCCTGGGTGATCATATTTACAAACTTGCAAGGGAAAATAATACATATTCTTTTCTCACATGGAAGCAACGTCTGGATATTTGCATTGGAGCTGGTCGAGGACTAGATTATCTTCACACAGGCAATAATGTCATACATCGAGATGTAAAGACTACAAACATTCTCCTTGATGAAAATTTCATAGCTAAGGTTTCAGATTTTGGCTTGGCCAAGCCTGAAAATATAAGCAATTTACAAGGTCATGTTAGCACGAACGTTAAAGGCACATTTGGGTATCTCGATCCAAATTACTCTCGCACTCATAAACTAACCAGGAAAAGTGATACGTACGGATTTGGGGTGGTGCTGTTGGAAGTATTGTGTGGGAGGGCTGCAGTGGATTCGAAGGTTGTAAAGGAAGAGCAAATTCTGAGCATATGGGCTCAAGATAAGATTAAAAAAGGAGAAGTTGACCAAATCGTAGCTACGAGTCTGCGAGATGAGATTTCGCCAAATAGCCTCAAGATATTTGTGGGAGTCGTAGAAAAATGCTTGTCTGATGAACCGAAGAAACGACCAACAATGTCTCAAGTTGTGTCACAACTTGAGTTGGCTCTTGAGCAACAAGGGACTAAACAACCTTTGAAAATAACAACAATTGTAAAGACGGGGCAACCAACCATTTTCTCTACAGCTGTGCAAAATTTCATCCCCAATTCGAAGGAACAAATTAATAGCAACATGGTTATTGCTCAACTTCCAAATAATAATAAAGATGGTCCATCATTTCCGACGGAGCAACCAACAATTTTCTCTACAAATGTGCAGAATTTCACACCTGATCCGAAGGAACAAATTAATAACAATGTGGTTATTGCTCAACTTCCAAATAATAATAAAGATGGTCCATCAGTTCAGACGGCGCAACCAACAATTTTCTCTACAGCTGTCCAGAATTTTACACCTCCTCCGCGGGAACAAACTAGTAGAAGTGTAGTTATTGCTCAACTTCCACCCAAGGAAAATGAATTGCCATCGGTATCAGGTACGAATTCGATAAATAATAATAAAAAACAAACCTTGACTATTCATATCATGATTTTTAAACTTGTCATGGTCTTATTTTAATGTGCTTATGATATTACCTGAAATGTAAAGCACTAGCAGCGTTTGATTTGGGTACAAGTACACCTGCCATCAGTAAATTTTGTCCTACATCGGATTCGTGCAGACGTTTCTTGTTGGAAGAGATCAAAAGCGCCACAAGCAACTTTGATGACAATTCCATCATCTGCAAGGGAAGATTCTCCGATGTGTACAAAGGGTTCATCGAGGACAGAGCCACCACCTTGGCCATCAAAAGGGTGAAGAAGCTATGGGACTCAGATTTCCACAAGTTCCTACATAAAATCGACATGGCGTCAAAGCTAAGGCACCTCCACGTGGTATCACCAATCGGCTACTGTGACGAGGATGGAGAGATGATATTAGTCTACGATTACATGGTGCATGGCAGTTTATACGACCATCTCTACAAGAAGAATCCACCATTAAAGTGGAAGCAACGCCTCCAAATTTGCATAGGTGCCGCCAGGGGATTGCATTACCTTAACAATACCGTCAATGAGTACCACAAGATTCATCGCATCGTCAACTCCACAAACATACTACTGGATGAGAAATGGGTGGCCAAGGTCTCCGTCGCGCCAACTTATATCTGGCATGGCTCGATGATTGAAGAAAAGGATAATAATGTGTACTCCTTCGGCTTGGTGTTGTTACAAGTGTTATTCATCAAGCCCAGGAAGCCGTTAGATATTCACCAATATGCTGAGTCTTGTCGTAGAGGGGCATTTAAAAAATATATTGATCCTAATCTGAATCGTCAAATTGCCCCTCAATGTTTGAGTAAATTCGTCGAGACAGCCCTCGCATGCATTAAAAAGGAAAGTGAGCCGCCGGCAACGAGCGACGTTGTTCGGAGCCTCGAGCTTGCGATGCAGCTGCAAGAAGCAGCGGAGCAAAGAGACAACATCATATGATGGTGGGAGTTTCTCCTTCGTCTCTTTCTCAGATATAATAGAAACGTTGCCCTGATTGAATTTATAGAAAGACTTTGAAAAATTCAGTCCTTACATGCAAACAATTAAAGGCATATTGCAAATCTTGCATGTTCGAAAAATACTAATGTACGACGAAATTTGATGAGTGAAATTGTGGGAGTAAGCATAACTTCAATTACAACATTTATTGGGCTCGAGAGTTTGTAACACTGGTTTTAGTGTAATTCCACAAATGTTGCTACAGCACAAGGGAAAATGGATTGGTGATTTTACAGACAAAATCTTATTCCTAGGCAAGAATCAAAGGTTGGTCGACCAATCTCAACTGCCACCAATCTCTTTCGATCCAGTTCCCCACAAAACGGCAGGAATATCTCAATCTCGATTCTCCTATGCATGTTGCGGGAACCAAAATCAAATAAGATAGTTTCTTTATGTTATGCTTTATTGAATGCCTGGTTGCGGAGATTTTGACATCGTGATGAATATATATTAGTCTTTTTCTTTTAGATTAATTCGTTGTTATTAGCTACGCCTACACAAATGTGTCCCCGTACGACTTCACGCGACCTGACAAAATGCTTGTCAAGAAAATATTGGGTATATATAGCTAATGGTTTAATTGATGGAGGAAACTTTCAACTCCAATTCTGGAAAGTGTTTAATCAATCATGGAAATCAACGGCCATCAATGAACAATATAGTGACACAACTCGAGGCTGCTTTAGAGCAGCAAGAAGCCATAGCAGGTAAAATAAAGGTGCTTAACTCCTAAGGAGCTGACTCGATACATATCGATATCCAGTCAGAGAGTCAATAAGTCTAGGATTCAACACGAGTCGAATGCGTTTCAATGACTATATCGTACTTGTTTCCCAAGTGGGCAGCCCGAAAGGCAATCGAGAGAAACAATAATACATGGAAGATGCCGGTGGACGTCGGATTCAAATACTTGATCAGGGTTCACCTCTCGGTGCTGGGAGTCAAGACCGCAGAAAGTGTTGATAATGTGCTTGAAGTCCTTATTAATGAAATGATTGCTCAAACTAATATTGATGCAGTTGAAGAAAGCGATGAAACTAACATCCCGTCGTATAGAGACTACATGGTGTTGGTGAAAGGGAACAAAAAGGAGGGCAAACGTGATATATTATTTTCCTTAAAGTCATATGACGATCGGGGACTTGTTTCGGGATTCGAAATATTTAAGTTGAGCAACTATGACAACAGTCTTGCCAGCCCAAATCCTTTGCCTCTAGCTCGGGATTCACCATCCGACACTGTCCTCCAAGCTTTATTCTCTGTTATTGTTGAGAGAAATGCAATTGGAACTGTTGCAATAGCTGTAATTTCTCTGGTATGCATTGTTGTTCATAACTTGCTAGAAATTCCAGAAGCTAATATTACCGAGCGAGCTCCGAGTTCAGGGGAGGAGATCTCACCAAATAGCCTCAAGACATTTGTTGAGCAATATGAATTAACAATTCAACCTTTGGAAATAGCAGCAACTGTTTCGACGGAGCAACCAATAATTTTCGTTACAGCTGTGCATAATTTCACGCCTCCTCCGCAGGAACAAACTAATAGCAATGTTGCGGTTATGGCCCAGCTTCCGAATAATGATAATAAAGATGGTCCGTCAGTTCAGACGGGGCAACCAACAATTTTCTCTACAGCTCTGCAAAATTTCACACCTCCACCTCATGAACAAACTAATAACAGTGTGGTTATTGCTCAGCTTCCACTCGAGGAAAATCTATTGCAATCATTACCAGGTACAAATTCGATAAATAGTGATATAACAAACTTGTCATAGTCTTATTTTTTAATGTGCTGATGATGTTACCTGAAATGTAAAGCGCTAGCAGAGTTCGATTTAGGTTCAAGTTCACCTGTTATCAGTGAATCTCGTTCTATATCGGACTTATGCAGACGTTTCTCGTTGGAAGAGATCAAAGCCGCCACATGCAACTTCGGCAACAATTCCATCATCCACAAGGGATTTTTCTCCGATGTGTACAAAGGGTTAATCGAGGACGGCGCCACCACCGCGGCCATCAAAAGGCTGAACCCGAAGTCGACCCCGGATACCCACGAGTTCCTAGATATAACCACAACGCTGTCAAAGCTAAGGCACCTCCACTTGGTATCACCGATCGGCTACTGCGACGAGGGTGGAGAGATGATATTAGTCTACGATTACATGGCACACGGCAGCTTACGAGACCGTCTCAACAACTCGGAGAAGTATCTCCACCGTTAACGTGGAAGCAACGCCTCCAGATTTGCGCAGGTGCCGCCAAGGGATTGCATCATTGCCTTCACGCCGGCATTGGGGACCGCAACATGCAGCGGAACATCAACACCGCAAACATACTACTGGATGAGGAATGGGTGGCCAAGTTCTGCGTCGCGCCGCGCCGAATCATATCCGGCAAGAAAAGGATAGCGCGTACTCCTCATTCGCGTTGGTGTTGTTCCATGTGCTATTCTTCAAGGCAGGCGAGCAACCGAAAGTTACCGAATGGGCTGAGTTTTGTCGTACAGAGACGCTAAAACAATATATGGATACCAACCTGTACAATCAAATCGCCCCTGATTGTTTGAGTAAATTCATCGAGACAACGCTTGCATGCAGAAATAGAAACGTAAGTGAACAGCTGGCAACGAGCGACGTCGTTCGGAGCCTCGAGTTGGCGGTGCAGCTGCAAGAAGCGGCGGAGCAAAGAGGCAGCAGACGGTGGTGGGGTCTGTTTCAGAAATAACAATAAAAATGTTGCCCGGATTGAAATAATATAAAGAATTTGAAAAATTCAGTCATATAAATTAGTTTGGATGAGTGAAATTAGCATAATTTCAACAATTGTTCTCTATTGTAATTCCACAAATGTTGCTATAGCATAAGGGAATGGAGACCTAAGACGTCACGATTAATATATTTTCCCAATCACCAATCAAATATTTTTAGTTATTATTTTTTTTTCTTAAGATTAATCAGTTATTATTAGATACGCCTGCACAAAGGTTCCCCCATCCCAAACAAAAAAAAAAATTCCAAAGAACACTTGGAAGTTGGATCACTAGTTATGGAGAACAACAATAAATAAATAAAATGAATTGAACTCACAAATGAGGTATTTATTATTTAAATTGAGAATATAGAGTTTGTTGCTAAATTTATTTTAAACAACTGATAAGCTGTTACATTTTATTATTAGAATTAATTTTTAAAGTGTTTAATAAAAAGGGGGATTATAAGTATTCTTTTTTAAAGATCTTCAACTTATTTTTGAATTTTTAATATCCTTTTCAAAAAATTAACCAACCAATTTTAAAGAGCTTTAACCTCTTAATCATATTATAATTTTTTTTAACAGCTTATAAGTTTAGCCAAACAGCCTATCCACATAGGCTAATTTTTTTCGAAATAAAAGCCGCGTTAAAAAGACAAGGTTGGTGGGGGTTGGAGTAAAGAACAATTGAATTTTCTACGTAAAAACAAACAAGACATGTGATTTCTGCTCTCAGTCAACTCTCATTATCCTTTCCAAATCAATCAAAACCTACTGGCATAATTCTGTTCAAACATAAACACCATGTATATTTCTGAATCATCAAAAAATTTCTTAATTTTCTCCTTGTTCTTGCATATCCTGATCATTCCTGCTACTTATTCCCTCGACAGCATCGCCATTTCTTGCGGTTCTTCCGGGAATTCAACTGCACTCGATGGCCGAATTTGGATCGGAGATTCGACGCCCAAATCCACATTCTCACCGCAAATTAACGGCAAAACTTCCGAATCAAGAACCACCGACAAACTTGCCTCGCTCGATTCTGTACCATATAAAACCGCTCGAGCGTCTCGCCACGAGTTTACTTACGTTTTTCAAGTCAATCCAGGTCAGAAATTCATCCGCCTCCACTTCTATCGAGATTCATCGTACAAGGGATTCGAAAGTTCTAAAGCCCTGTTCACCGTTAAAGCTGGACCTTACACACTCCTCAGCAACTTCAGCACATCTCTTATTTCCGATGTTTCGGGTGAAAAGCAGATACTCAAAGAGTACTGTGTTAATGTAGACGAGAGCCGAGCATTGACCTTAACTTTCTCACCAGCTCAGAAAGAAAGGAAGTCAGATGATTTCTATGCCTTTGTCAATGCAATTGAGGTTGTCTCGATGCCCACCGGTCTTTACTTCACTCCAGAAGGGGAGTTGGGTGCCCTCGTTGTTGGCCAAAAGTACAGATTCTACATAGATAACACCACAGCATTCGAGCTCGTTCGGCGTCTGAATGTTGGCGGAACCACCATCTCACCAGCGGAAGATTCAAGAATGTTCCGGAGATGGGACGAGGACTCCACATACTTGATGGAAGCAGGTTCTTTTCCTGTCGAAACTTTAACTACGGTTGGATATAGAGGGACATCAACTCACGTTGCACCAATCAAAGTTTACGATACAGCAAGAACGATGCAAACCGTCACTACGAATAATCTCACATGGAGAATACCAGTGGATTTAGGATTTAGATACTTAACCAGGCTCCATTTTTCTGAGCTTCACCCGAGGATAGCACAGCAGTTTTCGATTTTCATAAACAATCAGATTGCAGAGAATGATGCTAATATTATTCAACGGGGTGGAGAATCTGGAGTTGCAGTTTACAGAGACTACATTGTGATGATGGATGGAGATAAAACGGAGGGAAAGCGCCACCTCAGCATCACTTTTCAGGCCAAGATTGAATCAACATATAGACAATTCAACGGGTTAGAAGTATTCAAGTTGAGCAACCCCGACAACAATCTAGCAGGCATGGGGCCCGTTCTCGAGCTGCAGAGTTCAACATCAACGCCACAGCAAAAGAAACCGAAGTCAATTTACAGTTCTAACATGATTGCCGCCCTGCTGACAGTCATCCTAGCCTTATTGAATATTGCTGTTTACCACCTGAGAATAATTTCTGAAACAAATTCTGGGACAAGGAACATAAGATCATCAACCATGGAGCCTCGGTGCCGTCGATTTCCAATCGATGAAATCCGATTGGCGACCAACTATTTCGACCTACGATTTCATATTGGAAGTGGAGGATACGGCAGAGTCTACAAAGGGAGTATTGATGGAGGGGCTACAGTGGTTGCAATCAAGCGGTTGAAATCAGAGTCCAGACAAGGGGACACCGAGTTTTGGACAGAGATCAAGATGCTGTCCAAGATCAGGCACAAGCATCTCGTCTCTCTGATTGGCTACTGCAATGACGGTCAAGAGAGGGTGTTGGTTTACCACTACATGGCTCAAGGAACGCTTTCTGACCATATCTACAAAACATACAGGCATGGGAAATCGAATCCTCCTCTCTCTTGGGAACTGCGCCTCAAGGCCTCGATCGGTGCTGCACGTGGCTTATACTATCTGCACTCCCGGCATAGGGTCATACACAGAGATGTGAAAAGCTCGAACATTTTGCTGGACGAGAATTGGGTTGCCAAAATCTCGGATTTCGGACTGTCCAAAATGGGACCGACGAATGATTCATTCACACACATCAGCACAAACGTCAAAGGCACGTTTGGTTACTTGGATCCAGAGTACTTTTTGACTCGCAAACTGACGAGAAAATCTGATGTGTACGCTTTCGGGGTGGTGCTATTCGAAGTGCTGTCTGGAAGACCTGCAGTGGAAATAAGACTCGAGGAGGAGAAACATAGCCTAGCCGGATGGGCCCGATATTGCATTAGAGAGGGGAGAGTGGATCAACTTATTGACCAGAATCTGACAGGGCAGATTTTACCGGCTTGTCTGAAAGTGTTTGTAGGAATTGCTGGGAGATGCTTACACACTCAACCACAGGGGAGGCCTGCAATGGCTGATGTAGTGATGGGCCTTGAGTTAGCACTGGCTTTACAACAGAGCACCGATCCAATGGAAGAGGAAGAAAATATCGGACGAACTGACAGTGATCGGAGCGACGGGGTTATTTCTATGGATGATATTATGACTCCTCCAAAAGGCGAATCGGATAGGATTATTATCGAAGATAATCCCAGCTCAAGTACGAGAATCAGAGGCAGGGATCAAAAGAACCCAAAACTCAAGACCAAGGACAGCAGTTCCGCCACTAACTCGACACATAAATGGTGGTGGGATCCATTCGGAATTTTACCAAGAACACCATCAAAGCCGAAAGCTTCACCGCAAGCAGTCATCCACCATTTCTCTATCCAGGAGATTCAGACAGCCACAAACGACTTCCACAACAGTCTCGTCATTGGATTTGGAGGAGCGGACAATGTATACAAAGGATGCATAAACGGTGGGCAAAAACTCGTTGCAATCAGACAGTCAAGAACTAGAGAGTCCCGACTCTGCATGTCACGTGAGTTGCAATCTCAGAAAGAGACACAAACGAAATCTTCTCCAAGTCAAAAGCATGTGGTCTCTCTTATAGGGTACTGCGAGACGGAATCGGATATGGTTCTTGTATACGAGTACATGCCAAATGGAACACTGTACGATCACCTTCACGAACCTCTCAAGAGTCCCCTCCCATGGAAACGAAGACTGCAGATCTGCATCGGTGCAGCACGAGGACTAATCTATATCCATTCCACTATCAAGCAGACAGTGCTTCACCGTGACTTCAAATCCACCAACATTTGGCTAGACGAGAATTTTGTTCCGAAGGTGTCGGAATGGGGTTTGTCCAGAAATAAAGGAAATAATCGAGTCCCAACAACTGCCAGAGATAACTGGGGGTATTTGGATTCAGATTACATACGTGGAGAAGAGTCAACGGAAAAGTCTTACGTATACTCGTTTGGGCTGGTCTTGTTTGAGTTGCTTTTTGACAATAAAGAATCGGATCGTTGGTTGGACGAGGATCAAGTGAGTCTAGCCCAGTGGATCAAGTCGTGCATGAGAAATAACCTTTCTGGTTGTATTGATCCATTTCTGGTGGGCAGAGTATCACCGGATAGTCTTAGAATATTTGTAGAAACTGCTGGAAGGTGTTTACTCGATCATGGGAATCGACGGCCATCAATGAACGATATAGTGACACAACTCGAGGCTGCATTAGAGCAGCAAGAAGTCACAGAAGGTAAGGTGCTCAACTCCTAAGGAGCTGACTCAATACATATCGATATCCAGTCAGAGAGTCAATAATTCTAGGATTCAACACGAGTCGAATGCGTTTCAACGACTATTATCGTACTTGTTTCTGATTTACCGCAATGCACACCCTAAATATAGAATTTATTTATCTTGATTTCTTGAATGAAATATTAGCTACTATGTTCATACATTCTTCGTCCTCCCACCCTCAAATGTTTGTTTTACACTACAAAAGTGAACATCGAGATCCGAAAAGGTCAGGAAATTATCATAAACTGAATTTAAAGCCCAGCATTTCTCTCTTATGATTTTGAGTACCAAATGAATGAACTAAACAAATTCAGGTGCTAGAACACAGTCAAAATGAGAGAAGAACAAAAATTTAAATATAATTAACTACTCATTCATTTCAACTTCAAACACCAGCACACAGATGCACACAGCGAATTCCTTTCATCATTTTCAAAATTACATCATTATCAAAATCCAATTTGAATCTAGACCATCGATAACACGAGCAATTCATAGAAGATTAAAAAAAAATAACGAATCGGTTTAAAATTCAAAGGAAGCACATACAAATTTCTGTATTCAGCGTCGCAAAACTAGCAGAAGAAATCCACAAAACTTGCAATCTGTCAGGGCCCTAGGGAAGAACTGGAATTGGGGTCGAAAAGGAAGAAGAAACCCTAGGGCTCGAATTAGGGGAATTGGGGAAATTGTTAGCATAGAAACGACACCGTTTGTTACAATGAAGTTAATGGGCTGGAAAATAATGAAATTGGGCCCACGCTGAAGCTTTATCTGAAGCTGTTGGGCCACTCATAGAAGCTGGACTTGGAATCAAACCTGTGAACAAAAAGGACAGCTGTTAGATTTCTATTTGATGATGTAAAAGGTATCTTTTTTTATTCCTTTTCCAAAACCAGTTCGTATTTATTTAGTTTTTTTTTTAAATCCCAAGACAATTTCATAAATTTCTCCCTCTTCCAACCATAATTTGACTGATTCAGTATAAAGATTTCACCTTGCTACACTAGAAAACGTCTACGACTCTACCTAAAAATAAACTAACATCATTTTATTTTTCAAATTTATCTTGTAAAATATAATTTTCTATCACATTAAAACGTGATTTGACTGCTGCATCGTACTTTGTCTCATCTCAAATTATAAACAATAATATTTTTTTCTAAATTATTCTCTCAATACGAATTTCTCCAAAATAAAATAAAAAATAACTCCCAAAACGATTCCAAACATTACCTACTTCTCTCGAATGGTATTTCAAAGCATAATAAACTTATCAATTAGAGAATAATTATTTGAGCAGGCCAATGGGAGTTGGGGTGCAGGCCCCTCTCATTAATACAATTAGTGTTATAATATTGGAATTATTAATTGATATATAATTTAAGAAAAATAAAATATTTACCCAAAGCGACAAAACAAATTATTTAAGTATATGGGTATACACTATGTACTATGTAGTAATAATTTATCTCTCTACATATATTTTAATCTTTCTTTTCTTGCCGCCACTTATGTGACGTCATGATTCCTGAAAATTAGGTCGAAAGCAGACAATTGAAACCAAAAAGTGACACAATTATTGCATAACTCCAAAATTAATGGCATATAACTAATTAATTTGGTAATGTTCTATTCCAATGACATATAAGTTGCTACATAACACAAGACACCCTCAAATCACCAAATTGATCACCAAAAAATGCAGAAAACCAAAATCCACGCGCTTCTTCGGGCTGCAGCATCAGCACTTGTGCTAATCATACTCCTCGGTGCGAAGGAGGCCGAGTGCGGCCCGAGCACCGGCGGCGCTCCGACGCTGAACGCGACGAGAGTGGGCGATTGGTTGGACGACGGCGAGGAGTTCCTGATGGAATCGGAAACGAGCAGAAGGATTCTCCAGGCTGGAAAGAAGAAGCCCACTATCCCCGCGGTGACCGAAAAAAAACCCTTTTGCGACGCAGAAATATACTCTAGTTGTATTGGACCGGACAGCAAAACTTACACCAAACGGCCTTGCACCTATCAGAATTCTTGCAATCGGCCGGGCAGTTGATTGCCGTTTAACCGGGGATTGCTGCAATTTCCGGTGTTGTGTATGAAAGTTTAATGGGAAGTAGTAGTTATATATGTGGTTTTTAACTTTCACTTAAACGCCAACACGGGGTGTGTGTGTTTTTTTTATGTGTGAATACAAATTTGATTTTTTTTTTTTTTGATGTTTTAAGTTTTCGTTGTAAAATAAAATAAATTAGAGAGACTTTGGTGCAAATTTTACTTAACATATATGTAAGCAAATCTAGTTCAATTTTTTTTTTTAATTCACGCTATAAATTGCACAAATTCATGTGCCGTGGAAAATAGGATAAACGATTTTTTCGTACAATAAAATGAGCCACCTTGACAAAAACTCGAATTCCAACTTGAGTTTCCTCTTAGTTGTTGTTGAGCTCACGAGCCGGCTTGCGAGTCTTTTTTTTTTTTATATCTTTTATTTTACTTTTTTATTTTAATTTTTTATATGTTATTTTGAATTTAAATGATATAAAATATTATTATAATAATATGCAAAATACATTTAATTTTTTTTTAAATTAATTACAGTTCATTATTATTTATTATTTTTTTTATTATAATAAAATAACTTCAGTAATATTATAAATAAATTAAAAGAAAATTTGAAAATGAGCTTGAGCTCGAATCCGAAAAAAGATACTCTCGACTCGAGCTCGCCATAACGGGCACTCAGCTCGTTTATACTAAACTTTGTGAAGGTTGAAAGCATCTCTAAGGAATTATAATTAATAATGATTGAGCTCAAATTAAAGTATTATAGTTAACTTAAAGTTAATCTAATGAGTTGGACCATTCAAAAATGAAATGACTTAAAAGGGCTCCATTATGCTAGGCCTGTCATCAAATCCCCACTCTTAAATGGGTATTAATTAATTCAGAGTAATTATTGGAGGAGAGTTTCATATCACTACCAATAAATTATCATCTAAATATATTTTTTATTTTTTTATAAATATATCTTTCTTTTTCTTTTTCTAGCCACACCTTCCTTTTGGTTAAATTATACTTGTAGTCCTGTAAATTTATTGTTTGAGAGATTTAGTCCACCACATTTTAAAATTTGAAATTTAGTCCTATAAGTTACAAAATTTGAGATTTTTAGTCCTATGACCTGCTATAACAGACGATTGAGTAATTGGTTGAATGAGTTGACATTTAATATATATAAATAAATAAATTAAAAAAATAAAGTCGATGATGATGTGGCTGAAGAATTTAACGATTTTGGAGAAAATTCCATCAAAGACATTAAAATGGAGGGAAATTAATATTTTCATTTTATATATATTTTTTTTTGTTCTAGTTTGCAATAGTAAAACATCAAGAAACATTTATAAGAATTCTTCTCATGAAAGAAATTAAACATTTTTTTCTTCTTTTTTTGATAAGATTTTCTAGCCACACATTTATGAGGTCATAATTCATGAAATTAAAATCAGATTCAGCCAATTGAGACCAAAAGATACACAATTCAATTGCATTTATGCCCCCACAGCTGCTCAATTATTGCACAACTCCAAAATTTTTGAAATACTATAATTACACACCACTCCTCCAAAATTGTGAAGAAAAAAAAAAAGAAAACCCCAAATCACCACCAACAATGGAGAAAATCAAAATCAATGCGCTTCTTCAGGCAGCAGCAGCAGCACTAGTAGTTCTCATCCTCCTCCTCAGCGCGGAGGAGGCTGAATGCCGGAGCACAGTCGGCGCTCCGGCGTTCAACGTCACTGGAGTCGGCGATTGGTTGGACGACGGCGGCGAGGAGTTCCTGATGGAATCGGAAACGAGCAGAAGGATTCTCCAGGCCGGAGGAAAGAATACGATCAATTATCGGCCGTTGCAACCGGAATTACCCTTCTGCGACAGTGTAGTGTACGGCAGTTGTATTGGAAAAGACAGCAAAACTTACACCAAACGGAATTGCGGCTATCATAATTCTTGCTTTCGGCCGGGCAGTTGATTGCCGTTTAACCGGGGATTGCTGCAATTTCCGGTGTTGTGTATGAAAGTTTAATGGTAAGTAGTAGTTATATATGTGGTTTTTAACTTTCACTTAAACACCAGCATGGGGTGTGTGTGTGTTTTTTATGCATGAATAAAAATTTGAATTGTTTTTTTTCTTCTGATGTTTTAAGTTTTCTTTGTAAAATAAAATAAACTAGAGAGACTTTGGTGCAAATTTTACTTTAACACAAGAAGATATATGTAAGCAATTTTTTATTTTATTTTAATTCATGCTATAAATCGCACAAATTCATGTGCCGTGGAAAATAGGATAAAAGAGTTTTTCGTACAATAAAATGAACTAGGGTTATGTAAATGAGTTCATATGTAAATGAGTTGAACCAGCTCGACAAAAACACGAATTCCAACTTGAGTTTCTTCTTAGTTGCTCTTGAGCTCACGAACCGGTTTGCGAGCCTTTCTTTTATCTTTTATTTTAATTTTTTATATGTTATTTTGAATTTAAATGATATGAAATATTATAATAATAATATACAAAATACATTTAAAAAATTTAAAAATTAATTACAGTTCATTACTTATTTTTTTAATTTTTTATTATAATAAAATAACTTTAGTAATATTATAAATAAATCCAAAAAAAATTCAAAATTAGCTCGAGCTCGAGTCTAAAAAACAAATACACCTGGCTCGAGCTTGCCAAAACAGGCGGACTCAAGTCGTTTACACTAAACTCATCCCTAATTATGAAGGTTGAAACCATCTATAAGGAATTTTAATTAATAATGATTGAGCTCAAATTAAAGTATTCTAGTTAACTTAAAAGTTAATCTAATGAGTTGGACTGTTCAAAAATGAAATGACTTAAAAGGGCTCCATAATGCTAGGCCCGTCATAAAATCCCCACTCTTAAATGGGTATTAATTCAGATTAATTATTGGAGAGTTTCATATCACCACCAATATATTATCACCTAATATATATTTTTAATAAATATATCTTTCTTTTTCTAGCCACACCTTCTTTTTGGTTAAATTACACTTTTAGTCCAGTTAATTTATTAGTTGAAAGATTTAGTCCACCACATTTTAAAATTAGAATTTTAGTCATATAAGTTACAAAATTTGAGATTTTTTGTCCAATGACCTACTATAACAGGTGATTATAACATGTGATTCAATGATCGGTTGAACGAGTTGACATTTAATATTATAAAGATAAATGGATTAAAAATAAAATCGATGATGATGTAGCTGATGAGTTGGACGATTTTGGAGAAAAAAATTCAATCAAAGATGCCAAAAATTCAATCAAAGATGCCTTTATAAGATTTCTTCTATATGAAAGAAATTAAACATTTTTTTTTTCTGTTTCTCTATAAGATTTTCTAGCCACACATTTATGACGTCATAATTAATGAAAATTAGAATCGGATTCAGCCAAAAGTGACACAATTCAATTGCATTTAAGACCCCACAGCTGCTCAATTATTGCACTAACTCCAAAACTTTTGAAATACTCTATAATTACACACCACTCCTCCAAAATTGTGAAGGAAAAAAAAAGCCCCAAATCACAAAAATCACCCCACCAACAATGGAGAAAATCAAAATCAACGCACCTCTTCAGGCAGCAGCAGCAGCACTAGTAGTTCTGATCTTCCTCCTCTGCGCGGAGGAGGCCGAATGCCGGAGCACCGACGGCGCTCCGGCGTTCAACGCGACGAGAGTGGGCGATTGGTTGGACGACGGCGAGGAGTTCCTGATGGAATCGGAAACGAGCAGAAGGATTCTCCAGGCCGGAAAGAAGACGATCACTTACCCGTCGGCGAACCCGAAATTACCCTTCTGCGATAGTGCAGTGTACGGCAGTTGTATTGGTAAAGACAACAAAATTTACAAGCGGCCTTGCGACTATCAGAATACCTGCGGCCGAAAGGGCCAATGAATTTGGGGCTTTTGCTGCAATTTCCGCTGCTGTTTATCAAAGTTTGTGCCTTTGAAAAGTATAGTTATGGTTTTTACTGTTAATTTTAACACACACACCAAAGTGGGTGTGTGTGTGTGTTTTCTTATGTGTGAATAAAAACTTGAATGTTTATTTTGTTTTTCCAATAATTAATTAATTTACCAAGCGTGAATTAACTTACTACGCTTGATTAAGACACATTAATTAACAAAGTTAACGAGTACTCTTGATTTTAGGTAAAATAATTCATAATTGACAAAATTAATCCGTTTGAGACTTTAAATCTCTTTTTATCACCTAATTAATCTCTTATTTCAATTGTAGGGTAAAATTGAAAAAAAATACCTTAACTTGGAAATTTTAAAGTAACACTTTAATATGAAAAATAAGATTATAGCTAAAACGGCACTTGAAAAGAAGATGAGGGAGTAGTTAATGCATGTGAACTCCTTTTAACAACTACGGATTATTATATTAACTAATTATAGACTAAGAAATATATTAAGGATAAAGAAGTTGATTAGTGATCAAATATGGTTGGACCAAAATAGAGTAGAATTTTCCACAAATTATTTGTCAGTCCTTGTATTCAAAGATGTTGACTTGTGGTCCCTAGAATAGAAATTATTGACAAGAGTTTCCACATGTAAATCCACTGCAAAGACTTCCAAGTCTACCTCCCCACTATTAGATTTTTCATATATTCAGTTTCATTACCCAAAAAAATAAAAAAATAAAATAAAAGGGCAAAAAAAGAAAAAAGAAAATTCTCTTGTGGCAAAAAAGAAAACATTTTTTTTTCTCTCACTAACAATGATGTTCTCCTACGCTCTTCTTCATCTCTTCCTCCTCCTCACCGCCGCCGCCGCCGCCGTGCCTGCGTTCATCGCCACCGATTTCATACTCCTCAACTGCGGAGCCTCGTCAAGCTTGAACGACAGCAGCAGCCGGATCTGGTCCGGCGACGCCGGCTCGAGATACGCGCCGCCGAACGCCGACACCGTATCCTCAGCATCTAAAGCTTCGAGGATGCTGCCCTCCGTTGCTCCAGTGCCGTACGAGACGGCGCGTGTCCTTCAATCTCCCTTCACCTACAGCTTCCCCGTCCTGGAAGGCCGCAAATTCGTCCGCCTCTACTTCTACCCCGACACCTACTCCGGCGCCGACACGAGTAATTTCTTCTTCTCCGTCACCGCCAATTCGTTCACTCTGTGAGCAAT